TTTTTGGTATTTTCACGCAAATTCTTCTGCTAGTTGGGGGTCAGTCCAAATCTGCATCCTTTCCTTCAAGGCTCAGGGGTCCAAGATTATCTTCTGTGTCTCTCTTAATTGGTTTCCCTTTTCTTTGTTGAAGAGGGTCTGTGCAATCCTTCTGCCTAATCCGCCATCTTGCTCCGCCTCTCCAAAAAACCCACTTTAAAGTATTAAAGAGCAAAGATGTCATTTTGAAAATTACCAAGCCATGATATTTTCAATAGCCTCATATGCATGTGAAAGCTGAACAATTAATGAGGAAGACTGAAGAAGAATTGATGTGATGCATTTGAATTGTTTTGTTAGCAAAGAATACTGAATAAACCATGGACTTCTAGAAAATAAACAACTATGTCTTGAAAGAAGTACAGCCAGAATGCTTCTTAGAATGGAGCAGAGAATGGCTGGAGTTTGTCTCAAGTACTTTGGCCATGTTTTAAGAAGTAACCAGTTCCTGGAGATGTATATCAGGAAAGAGGAGGGTCAGGAAAGAAGAAGACCATTAACAAGATGGATTGACACTGTAGGTCCAATGAAGGGATCAAGCAAAATTGTGAGGATGGTGAAGGACTGGGCAATATTTCCATTTGCTGTACATAGGATCACTATGAGTCAGAACCAACTCCATGGCACCAAACAACAACTACAAAAACTATTATGTTTGCACAATAAAGTGTGACTATTAAAAATAAAAAGGCTACTTCTTAAACATACATAATACAGACTAAAGAAATCAGTTTTAACTTCTTTAAAAATGCACTGAATGTTTCAAACAAGATCCATACCTCACACTATGCACAAAAACTAACTCCAGATGGATCAAAGACTTAAATGTGAAACCTAAAACTATGAAGTTCCTCAAGGAAAAAATAGCAAATTTAGGTGCCCTAAATTATGGCATAAATAAACTGTCAAGCATAACCCAAAATGCACAAACAGCTGAAGATAAACTAGATGAATGAGACCTTCTAAAAATTAAATTTTTATATGTTTCAAAAGACTTCTCCAAAAGAGTAAAAAAACCTAGAGATTGGGAAAAAATATTCAGCAATGACATATCTGACAAGGGTCTTACCTCTAAAATTTACAGAAAACTCCAACACCTAAACAACAAAAAGACTAACAATCCAATTAAAAAACGAGCAGAAGACTTGAATAGACCCTTCACCAAAGAGGATATTCAGTCAGCCAGCAAATACATGAAGAAATGCTCACGATCATTAGCCATTAGAAAGATGCAAATCAAAACAACGAGATACCATCTCATTCCAGCACTAATGGCAAAGTTCAACAACACAGAAAATTACAAATGCTGGCAAGGATGTGGAGAGATTGGGACTCTCATACACTGCTGGTGGGACTGTCAAACGATATAACCACTGTGGAAAGCAGTATGGCGAGCCCTTAAAAAGCTGGAATTAGAAATACCATTTGACCCAGCAATCCTATTACTAGGTATGTATCCTAAAGAAGTGAGAGACAGGACAAGAACAGATAGATATATACATACCCATGTTCATCGCAGCACTATTTATAATAGCAAAAGGATGGAAACAACCTAGGTGCCCAGAAACAGAAGAAAGAATAACCAAACTATGGTACATACAAACAATGGAATACTATGCAACACTGAAGAATAATGTAGAATCTGTTAAACACCACATAACATGGATGAACTTGGAGGACTTTATGCTGAGTGAAGTAAGTCAATCACAGAAGGAAAAATATAGTATTAGTTCTTTATTGTAAAAAGTTAAGGAAAGGTTTATATGTGGAAGGAAACTTTCTTTGTTGATTACCAGGGTGGAAGGAGAGCGGAGGGAACACAGAAAAAAAAAAAAAAGGTATTGAACCATGTCACTTTAGTTTTGTGTATTTCACTAGACATAACTTATATTTCAACAAAATGTATTTTTTAAAAAATATACTGAATGTTTGAAGTATTTCAAAAAATCCTGCATTACACAAAAGATTTTTGGAATTACTAACTTGGAAATGCTTCAGACCAGTTTATAAACCCCAGGAGAAAAACCAGTCTCATTCTATAATCATCTCTTTTTTAAAAGCAAACATACCATCCTCTAGCTTGAATACTCATCTTACTTCCCTCAAGATGACTTTCATCAGTGTAGTACTTAAAAATCAAAACTCTGGAGCCAGATGTCTGGACGTTTGACTTCCTAGTGGTGTAACTCTGAGCAAGTTATTTATTCTTTCTTAACTTCCATTTCCTCATCAACATAATGAAGAAAATAATAGTACCTGAGCTCTGGTAGCATAGTGGCTAAAGCACTTGACTGCTAACCAGAAGGCTGGCGGTTCAAACCCACCAGCCACTCCTCGGAAGGAAAGTTGGGCAATCCTACTTCCGTAGTGATACTGCCTCGGAAACCCAAGGAGGGGTCACTATGAGTCGGGGCCGACTCGACGGCACATAA